AGAGCTCGCGGCCAATTACCTCTTTGAGAACCCTGATGATCCTGACGACCTGTGATGAACTGCTTTCCTGTGATTTTGTTCGAGGCTCCTCGTCTACTGGTTGCCTGCCAATCTATTCGAGTTAATTCTCCTCTCCTAACGAATTTTAGCATGAACGTCTTCTGACTCTTGTACGCAACCGATTTTGTTCAAACCGGGCTTCGTGCAAGTTTTCTTTTACCATTTCCCTGTCATTTCACTTGCGTGTGTTTTTTCTATGTCGAAACAGCTGCCCTAGTGAATGAAATTGGGAACTCGATGCTTCAACGTATGATATCTACCTCTTATTCAAACGTGACGCGTGGGTCATGTACCTATCAATGAGACGCACTGGGTCATCTTGACATGTATTCTATTTTTTCTCTCGCCTTTATTCCACCGGCATGACGAGGTTTGGCAACCGGATCAAGTCGCCGTTTCCACAGAAACCATAGGGATGAAGACGTAAGCAACCGATGTCCTTTGCGGATAGAGTGGTCACCAGGTACATTTGACTGTAGATCTTGCGACGAGCTGTTACAGGGAGAACTGTTCAATCCCTTCGAAGAAGGGAAATCTGACGCAAGCGAGGGTTTTCAATTGTGACAATGGCAATAAACAAGTAGTGGCTCTTTTGCTTTGGCCGTTTAATCTGGCATCCCGTTCATTTGACTAGTCATGAATTATGATTATACTGTATTGCGATGAGGGGTATAAACGAAATACGAGGGACATATTTTGTACGGGTATATTTGGCGCTGGGAAAGGGGTATCCGAAAGTCTCATCCCTGAAGGGGAAGGATGTCGAGTAGATGCGTGTGGACTGACTCGCTGTAAAAGGGGAATGGAACAGCCCGCAAGAGCACATATTATGCTTGTTTATAGAGGTTCAGACGTTCAACTGAGCAAGGACGAAGAGAAACGGGAATCAGAAGGGAATCAAGGTAGCGGGATGAGGGTTCAATCGCAGCCTGTCCTTCGTGCTAACCAGACATTTAGTCCACGTCTGCCAAAGACGCGTTTTAATGTCGCGACCAGCCCGTCGCTACCGACATCGAGATCATCCAGGTTGATGTGTTTTGGGTAGGAATAGAGCTCCCGTAATTCCAGACCTGAGGAGCCTGCTGGCGCTGTTGTGTATCGGTCCAGGTATGTAGCAGATCTTGGGGCGACCACGAACACGAAGTTCGTTCGATCAGCTTCCCCAGATCCGTCGCTGGCATCGTCGGTGTGAGTCTCGCCATGGGAGCCACATAGCGGCACCAACTTCTCGAGTTCCTGGGCCATCTCTGCTCCGGGAATGCCCATCATATCGCGGGTATCGATATCTAGCGGGAGGCTGGTATTGTTTCCCAATAGCCACAATGGGGGAGAGTATGTTTTCCACCATAATACGGTCGCGGATACTCTGGGCTGATATTCCACCGAGCCATTCGGCTTCACAGTGTTTGCCGAAATTATGGTTGGGATGGCCAGTTGCACAGGTACCACGCCACCCTGGTGGTAGATGCCCATCAAAAAGCCCAAAGCAGCATTGAAAATGACCCAGGCTACAAGGAACAGACGTGATTTGCGCAGGCGGAAGCAGCTAAGGAGGAGTGGCACACAGGGAATGAGAAAACGGGGCTCTTGATGCGGGAAGATCGAGAGCATCGCGGTGCCTGACAGGGCGGAGACGGCCTGCGTTGTCTTCAGCCAAGAAGGAATTGCTGGACGATTCCATAGGGACAGGACCATTGCCAAAAATGCTGGTCCGAGAAGCTGCGGCAAGTTGACTAGGAAATGTTGGTAGTTTGGATGGAGTCCATGGAGAGCCAGATTCGAAGTTTTCGTATTGTAGAGTAAATTATTGAGAGGCGAGATTATAGGCGAGCGGAGGGCATCGAGCACTGATGCAGATGGGCGATAAAACCTAGTGTCGACGATTATAGCAATGCAAGAGAAGAATAGGCCACAGACGATGAAGACAAAGAATGAGGTCGGTCTGCGCCTCAGCATTAGTTGATCCGACAATATGCCATCTGCGATGACGAGACTTACCTGCGCCAGAAATGTGGTAGTAATTGAAGCCCTGGAATCAAAAGAAAGGCCGGAAAGGTGATCCGGTTGAAAACACCAGCGACAGCGATCAATGCGAGCACGACACAAGAAAAGATGGATGAGCGTCGCTATATAGAGCCATTAGCTTCAGGAGGTCCATTACCATCTTCTCTGATGGTTCAAACCTTTTGTCCAACAATGCGGCGAATCAGCACCAGACCCCAGGTGACCAATAAAGTCTCAAGCGAGTTGGAGAAGGTGTGCGTCTGATATGTCCAGGTGACATACGAGGATGCAACCAGCACCACAGCGGCCCGGCGATGGCGCGGAAGAGGGACCAGCTCGTAGATGGCCCAGTCCTCCAAAACGAAACTTAAAAGGAACATGACTGCTCTCAAAATATAGTAAGCCACCTCCGGGGATGGATTCCCTATCTCCAACTCGCCGTAAAACCATTTCAGAAGGCCCATCGGCAAGCTGTAAACCGGCCATAGCGGAAAGACGCTACGAATAGGATTCTCAGAGGTGAACTCCCACGGTAATTTGGACGGGTACGAAAGTGTGCGACCTAAGTATCCCGTCAGTTTGCAGATTGCGAAGCGCCGACTCTCAAAGAGGGAAGGGGTTGTGCGCCGTTAAACCTCGCGAAGGGGGAGCGAGCAGACCAGCATCGTGATCGCGTTCGCGTTCGCGTTGCAGTAATGATCACAGCGTTGTATTTACACATCTCGAGGAATTTAGGAGAACGACATACCCGCGAAGACCTCGGGGCCTTGGAAGTTCTCATCTGGATGGAGATAACTTGGCGAGAGCGCAAAGTAGACTCGAACGAGTAGTAGCAGCAAGTATGTCCGTCTCCACATGACTCAGATGTCAGAAACGCACGGTACGCTGAGATGAAGGAAAGATAAGAATGATCCGACCGAAATAACAGTTACATGCTGCTGCATCAGGAGGTTGAGGACAGAAAAACAGCGATCCGGAGCATCCGATAAGGCCTCGTATCTGGAAGACGAAGAGAGGACAAATACTGAGAATGATAAAGGGGATGGATGGGTTGGGTTGCTGATCTTGACAGTCGCAATAATCTGTCAGAGGACAAGTAAACCAATAACAGAGCTTAGTCTAGGTGGTACTACTCTGATGTTTTTCTTTTTCCCACTCGATAAAGAAGACCGAGACGCGTCTTGTCGGGTGATGATATCATTGGTCCTGGAGAGAACGCTTGTGACTATCTCCCGACACCTGTCCGTATTGCTAGGATACTGACACGGAAGAAGAGTACTGACAAAGGGCTCGTTATTGTATTGCGAATGCCATTTTTCCTTTTGATCATCTCCTAACATCGGTCACTTGGACCAAGATCAGGAAAATTTGGGTGACAGCCTGAGGTATGAAAACTGTCAGACTTGCCTTTTAGATTCATTTAAGATAAAACTAAAGCAGTTAACACACAAATGGGCTTGTAGCTCAGTGGTAGTAGCGCTCGCTTTGCATTAATAAAGGTGCAGGTCTTCGGACTAGAAATGCGAGAGGTCCGGGGTTCAATCCCCCGTGAGTCCATTTTTTGTCCACTTTTTGCCCCTATCTTATCTCTTCTAATTTTTATTTTTTTAGTGCAGTTGTAGGCGCTAAAGTTATTTATCTCTGGTAGTCAAAAAAAGTCACATGACATCAAATTGGGCTTGTGGTTTAGTGGTATAATACCTGCCTTGCAAGCAGGTGGTCCGGGGTTCGATTCCCCGCGAGTCCAGACTTTTTTGCCTCTTGTTACTTGAGCTGACAACGCCATGCTATTCAATAGCTGTGGCCTTGTCTTATTTGCAGTAGAATCGACACATTAGCTGCATTATGCATTTTCTTTCTTGGTACGGCAAACCTGCAGCTGACAGACCAAGTGTTGCCGGAATCTCACAATACAGCCCTCAGATCTCAAGCCTTTTTCCGGTTGCGAAATAGCTGAGCTCAATGGCCATAATAGTAGCCTGCAAGAATCAGTACTTGACCATTGATCAAGAAGGCAATAAGGCATCGAAGTGAAGATAGCACTTTGCAGCTGAGACCCTTGAAGTAGCTGCTCCAATGTCACTAATTTCGCATTACCTTCTTTCTTATAGGTAAAGCCCATCAAAACGGTGATGTTTTGTGTTTCTTTCCAGTCCTGAGTGTCATCGTTAAGTTCAAAAACTCAATGTATCTTCGAATCATAACCCACAAAGACTTATTTCTTTTTCATTTGAGACGAAGGATACCTGAGACCATAGGGAATCCTAGTCGAGGACTGTCATCTTTAAATGTGACCAGTCTGTCCTTGTTCTTGCTATTTGTACTTTGCTGTTTCGAATATCATGATCTAAGAGCTTTTGTTTGTTGAAACTTTAAATGACTACAAGGAGTCATTCTGTCTCTGGGCATTAATATCACAGACATCACCTTGACAAGTACCAGGGTATTGAGTAGGCAGACATTGTAGAACTATGATGCCGACACGAAGACATTAGGCTGCCAACCCATGCTTAACCAAGGGTACCTGGTATGTAGTGGGGGCGAAGTAGGATTAGCAGTTTAGTCACTGCTGGTGGCCCTTCCCCCCCAGAGAAAGATTCACTAATACGGAGAGCCGCCGCAAGAACCAACCTCTTCTCACTTGTTGGCTCCGGCTTCTGTATTTATTCTCCTTTCTTCCCTGCTACATATTGCTACATACGGGAAGTTCTATCAAAATTCAACAACACCAGGTTAGCCTTTCCCCCTGAAATCCTACAACCGCTCAAATACGTCCAGCTTTCCACCGACTCCAACCCGGAATCATTGTCAGACTCCCCCGCCTTCGCGCCCCTCACAACGTCTGCTGAGCTTTCCGACTTTTCATTCAGGACTGTTATTAACGCGTTAGTTGCAGAAGATCAGATCACAATCTCGATACTACAGAGATTGTCAAAATGTCCACTGTTACTCTTACAAGCTCCGATGGCGTTGACATCACGGTCGGTAAGTTATCTCATCCTTCGAAGCCCTTCGTGTCCGGTACTCGGAAGATGAATGCACTCTGTCATTGCTTTATTTCACTTTCAATTCAATACTGATCATACTATCTTTCTGTAGACCGCGATGTTGCCGAACGATCGATTCTTATCAAGAACATGCTGGAGGATTTGGGCGAGTCGGATGAGGCCATTCCTATTCCAAATGTAAGTTTGAATTGAACGCCTTTTATCTTGGTGAGTGGCTCTGTTCATTCTAACTCTATCCTTTTCGCAGGTCAACGAGGTTGTGCTGAAGAAGGTCATTGAATGGTGCACTCATCACAAGAACGACCCTCCCAGCACTGGTGATGACGATGACTCTCGCCGCAAGACTACCGATATCGATGAGTGGGATCAGAAGTTCATGCAGGTCGACCAGGAGATGTTGTTTGAAATCATCTTGGTATGTACCGGATTGTCGACCCTTCCCACAGAAAATTGACTAAGACGCGAACCCTACAGGCTGCCAACTACCTCGATATCAAAGCTCTCTTGGATGTCGGCTGCAAGACTGTTGCGAACATGATTAAGGGCAAGTCCCCCGAAGAGATTCGCAAGACTTTCAACATCCAGAACGATTTCACTCCCGAGGAGGAGGATCAAATCCGCCGTGAGAACGAGTGGGCCGAGGAGTAAGCTTTCACTTGTGTACTTGCATCGAATCGACCCATTGCTGACAAGGCTGATTTTAGTCGCTAAATGCGTATCTGATTAAACGTCACAAAGTCTCGGACTCTTTCTCTAGCGGTTGGGGGCAGCCACCTCGTAACGCAGTGAGTTTCATCGGTCTAAAGATAACTTCAGTCTACGGCGTTCGGCTTTCATAACTTTCTAGCGGTTGTTTGCTCCTTTACTGGCTGTTATCTTTGGGGCTTGTCAGCCCGGGTTCGTTTCCGCTTCTTTCGAACAAATGGGCGAGGGTTCTGCTCTTATACCAATCAACGATTGTGTTGGCTCGCTAGCGATCCATATTTCAAGTTGCTCAAAAATTTGATGGTCAAATGTGAATCTCTCTTCGGTCCCTGGACGCTCTCTTGCTGAGTGCAGAGATCAAGCAGCACTGCCACTTACGGTAGAGTAGATCTGCAGGCCCAACATGCCTCCTGCAAACTGCCAAGCGTGCGTTGTATACGTAAGCGTTGATAAAGCTCTGGAAGTAATCATCAACGAAGTATCAGTGTGAATGCTGTTGCAGGAGCGCATCCTATCCATCCCTTTTCGTCCCATCCCGTCTACGTAGCAGCAAGGGGTCATTCCTTGATTGAGTGATATCGCCAATGCAAATGCCTCGTTCAACGACAATTACCCATCATGACTTTTCTTTTATTCTTGTTTAGCTCGTGTACATATCTGCAGATGATCCACATGTCCAGAGCCCGACAACGCTCGCATTCATGGAGTCTGTTCGACTTGCACCTTGCAACAGTTCGCATTTCGCCTTAAGATCCAGGGGGTAGAATTGCACCATTCGCATCGGAGCGGCCGGGCTAGACTAAAAGCAAAGCACGTGTGTTCCAAGATGAACCGACTTGTCATTCATTCACATTGTTTTTGTTCCGAACAGAAACCGAGAGGTAAAAACATTGTAACAGCGGCGCGAGGTCCGAACGCACAGTAATCATCGCGAGTAAGAGCTGCGGTATAACAATCGGGCGAAACAACTGGGGACGGACATCTCGGTCGGAAAAGAAAAAGGATTTGCCTCGAGTTTAGATACCGAGACGGGTCTTGCGCCAGTGTCTCCGCTTGGCGTTGTATCTGGAGAAGAATACCCGTCAGCTGGTTCATTCTTCCTTTTCTGTCCATGTAACCCGCGCAAGGTTCCAAATCCGTTCGTGTGATTTTTCTGGGGCGATTGTTGATGCGGGATGACAAGGCTGTCGTTGTGATCGAGGTCCGATTCAAGGATTTTCCCACCCCACCATTGCACACGATGGACGGCTCCGGATTGTAGAAGAAAAAGAGTGTATTTACCTGATGGTGTTACCGGTCCTGAGACGAATCCACTGGGGAATAGGACGGTTCTGTCTCTGAGCTTTGGCAAGCTTCTGCTTGGTGCGGAAACTCTTGTGGCTCTATTCAACAAAAATCGACGTTAGCCAACTGTCACCTTGTCACCTCAACATCAAAGACGAATATCTCAGTTCCTCGATGCGAGAGCAAGACAAATAAAATCTTCACATAACTCGGAATCGTAGGGGAGGACTGCTAACCGGCATCTTGTAGGCTTGTCGCGACGGCGAGCTGAGGGTATGGACTGGCGATAGTGAGGTTGTCGACCGTCTTCAAAGGGCCGATCGTAGTGGTTATTTTTTGTGTGGGCAGGGTTTAGCGGTTCGCTTCGGGTGGGTCATGTGATGTATGCCTTAGGCATACATCCGGCTCCGTATCAATTCACTTTACGACCAGGGACCACATCTGATGGTGGTGATATGCAACAACAGCCCTTTGATTTTGATTAAATCCAAATTTTCGACTACGATCATCCATGTCCTTAACTTATACACATAACCTCAGCGTCTCAGTTCGGGTTGTTTAATTCCGGGTTTTAAAATCCGCGCAGATCTAAATATGACTTCTACGACGACTGCTCCCCTCGATCAAGAAATCAACAATAACTCGAAATGTAGAAACATAAACTATTCCATGAGTGTGAACAAACTCCATGCGGAAGATTCAGATCACGCAGTACTAGGTTCTGGCTGCATGAGGACTCAAGGCAGCGACAGTGATCTGCATAAGCTTGCACGTAGTCATGACACAGTCGAGAGAAGATCCAATCTAGGCAACATAATGAGTTGACTTGACACATTTGAGAAGTTCCGGAGAGCAATAGTGGTAAATGATCGGGACGAGCTTACGACTACAAGCCTGAATCTCATATGTGGCGCTCCAGCCCTCATGCAACAACGATCCGAGTAATGACTCAAGTAAAGGAATACCAGAGCAGTAATTACAAAGAGTGGTGACTTTTCAAATCGACCAGATAACACGGACAAACAAGCACGTATGGTTCAGTCTCCCTCATATTATTATTGAATCCACTCAGAACTTCTAATAGATGATGGACCAGATGAGGCTACAAATGACCATCTAGTCTAGAATGTAGATGTTGGGCACACTCAGGCCCCAGGATTACGGGGGTGTTGTGCAGTCTAAGTACGGAGTATGGAGAACCCGAGACTTGATCTTAGGTACCCTCTACTCTGTATGCCTTGTAAAACTGATGCTCTTTTGTCTTGAGAGACTCGGAGTGATTGGCGATCATTATCCACCCGAACTTCAAGCTACGTCAAGATGCTACGGATATTCCGAACCCCAACTTTGTATCAACAGACTGTGGATGGCCTGTAAAAAAGTGAACAAATGTAAGTTGAAATTGACATATACTTATTCACAACATACGGAGTAGCTTACTTCTCTTTACTTTTTTTTCTTAGATCGGCCAATCAAGTGGTGTTCTATGCGATTTCGCTCCGTATTGGAGGTACAATACATCGCTTAACCCAGGCAACGTTCTCGGGGTTCGGGTCTTATACTTGCCGACAGCCACCATCTTGAAATTGATACAGAAGCACCTCTAGGTACGTATTGCTACTATGGTGTCTAGACGTGGGAGAAGATTGATCGGCAGTTCCACCTACAGGCTAAAGGAGACTCAGGCTCTCTGTTTACTAAATTTGGAGCCATCCAGATTTCTGCCTTCAGCATTCCTATCTGTATAGGCAACTTGCCGTACTCCATAGTGGACTGAGGGAATCCGCGAACATGATCTTTTCGCACTCTAAGATAGTAGACTTGTAGTTTGACTCGGACCAATATGTATCATAGTACCTAAACACCAGGTCCAGGGGCTCTTCCTTAAATTTGCGTTCTGATTGGCCTGCCTGCTGAAGGGGCTTCTATGTTGAAATTTGGAGTCTTAGATTAACAAGCATCGCAACGTGGGGGAGAACGCACGATAAATCTCCGGGGACGAAAATTTCCTGGATCAAGAAGTTATTTCTGTTCCTCTTTACTAGAAAGTTCCGCGCAGGTGGGTTTGTTGGACATGAGGTCTCAGTCAGATGATCGACTATCATCCGGTTGATTGAGTCACAACCTAAGGCCCTATCTGAGGTTTTCAGAATGTTTCAATGCTGAAATTCCATGCAAAAGTTTTGTTAGGATGACAAGCGGGACAGGAACATTATCCGCCTGCTTGACTTCAGAAAAGGAGAAGCGGGTCCATCTGGTTGGACTGTTGAAGTCTCAAAGTCGAAGGCCTCTTTTGAAAAGCGAGCTGGCAGGTAGATTGGATTTCCCCAATTCGGTTAGACCGTGCACTATTAGGGATGCTAAGCTATGGCATGTGTATAAATAGGTATGAAGTCGGGGTACAAGATTGGTAATGGAGTGTAGTCTTACAATCAAGATGACCTACACCTTTTTGCCTTGATTCGACATAATCAACGGTAGATAGTAGCAGATGCTTCTCGAAATGCTTTTCGGTCAAGGGCCATGATGACTCATGAACTTAACATGTTCTCTTAGGCAACAAAGTGCGGCGTATGCGATCTCCATTAGCTTTGTGCATAAAAGTATCGGGATGTCGGGCCTCCGAAGATACGGTGGTTGACGTTAAGATACGTAAAGGGTCTCTCTGAGTCTCTACTCCGTACCATCCATGGCTAAGCCATACTTAAGAATCCGAGTTCTGGGAGCAAAATGTATTAATATTAATATTATTATTATTGTAATATTACTACCACTAATATTATCCTTATTATTGCTTGACCGTTGAGAGGGGACTATTAATACTACGAGCTGACGCTGTTGTCCAAAGTCATGTTCTTTTGAGTGAAGCTCTCAAAAGGAGGTTTCATGGAATCTTTCTAGACCCTTCAATTCTTTCCTCTTCAGGGTGACTTTATTCCTGACCAGCGTGAAATTTCAGACCATACGACATAGAAGTGTCCTCTCTACGTGAAGGAGCACGACAGGGCCTTGACGACGCCATCTCGGTCTATTCCCTCATATAATCCTTTCCTCCTTGATTCAATCGAAGACCTCTGGATATTTTATCTTTGAGATTTGGAAGCCATATTATCTGCCTGTTAACCGACTTATGGAGTAGTGCGATCCTGGATAGCTCGAGGATTCCTCAACCTGTGGCATCTTTTAACTGAGAGAGTGTCAGTTTCGGCATAGCCTTGAGCGCAACATGTCTGCGCCTGAAAACAACGCCTCCTCTCGGGAGAAGTCGCTGGAGAATTTGCAGGTAGCGACATTAGAGAAAGGACGTTCCACTTCAATTTCCGGTGCTGATAATGAAAAATCACACGATCATCATTCGCTCTCAGACACAACCATGGCGCCTCCAGATGGCAAGAAAAAGGATCATCACTCATCGCCTGCTGAGAAGGCTGTCGACCTGAATGATGATTCTCTCTTTGCCCATCTTCCGGAGCATGAGAAAGAGATACTCAAGCGACAGCTTGAGTCACCGTCTGTGAAAGTATCTTTTTTCATTTTGTATCGCTATGCCTCAAGAACGGACATCCTGATCATGATCGTGAGCGCAATCTGTTCTATTGCTGCTGGTGCTGCTCTCCCCTTGTTTACGGTATGTATGACCTGCCTGACGATGTGACTAT